CTCTCTCTCTCTCTCTCTCTCTCTCTCTCTCTCTCTCTCTCTCTCTCTCTCTGTGTGTGTGTGTGTGTGTGTGTGTGTGTGGGCTTGTCCGGGGGTCACTTGAGGGCTACACTCTCCGCCGTCTCCGGTGTAGCCCTCCTGTGTATGGGCTGGTAAAAAAAGAGGAGAGGAGTGGTGGAGAATTTGAAAAATTGGGGAAACCAACCCGTGTATAATAGAGGGAGGGACTGATTGGACTCACACCAGAGGGTGTGTTTCCCCCCCCCTTTACTACGAACCAATGGGCAATCATGCAGCTTTTGACGGAAGGGCCGAAGGGAAGTGGACAGTACTTTGGCCGATCTGGTTTTTGTGACGACTACGGGTAGAGATAGGTGAGTAGGTAAAAATGGGAAGGAATAGATGGGTTGTGCAGCACTGGGCCAGTAGATGCTAATCAGTCAGGAAGGAATACTGACGTGACGAGGCCCCTTTTTGTTTTGGGAAGCTAACTATAGCATATGGCCGATCAAATACATTGGCCGAGTATCTCTAGTATTCCTCTTCTTCATCGCACGAAACATTTGAGGAAACTATTCTTCACCGATGAAGATTCAGGCTCATTTATAGTATGATCCGGGACGAGGGGAAGGATAGCAAAGCAGGAAGCCGAAGCTGCATGTCCCGCTCTCGTATGTCTCCCCCGATGCCCACCTGTACAAAGCGTACGCGACAATGTGGTCAGGCTGGAGGGGCTCCCTATAGAAAGTGGCACGCCATTGAAGGAAGGGAGACAGAGCTTCCGCGATCTCTCGGAACACATGTGGCGACATGCGCAGCTTGTCCTGAAGTAGTCGACCGTCACGTCGTCGCCTTGTCGCAGATCCTCCCACGTCCCCTCTGTTCGTCGCTTCATCCACCACCTGGGCGTCGCTCTGGGAAATGCTCCACACCCCATGGCGTAGCACACCTGCAGCACGGCGTCGCAAATGGCACCAGTGTCCTTTACGTCCACATTCTGACATTCATGGACTGCAGCGTTCACTTCCGCTGTGTGCGAATGGCCGCTCTCATCCTCCCCTTGGTCCTCTACAATTGACACCAGAAGAGGATGGCATTCACGGCCGCTGCCATTGCTGTCCTCTCCGCCTTGCTCAGTGTGTCACCGCCCGCCTCCCCGTTCATGTCCATCGTTGAAACTGGTACTGTTGACGTGGGCGTCGCCAAGTACAGAAGACTCCACGTGTGCCGGGGCGCGCAACAATGATGCTGCGAGTGACGACCGGAGTGCACTGCGTACACGTCGATGACGAAGGTGCGCCTGCGAAGACGACAACGATGGCGATCGTGTGACGGCGTGTCTGCTGCTTCGGACGTGTACATGTATGTTTGGCGTGCCCGCCGACACGCAGCCGCCACCCCGTACCCAAACGTTTCCGCCGAGGAACGTTGCTGCCGTCAGCCGCAAGGGACGTCCACGCCGCCGTCACTAGCTTGCAGAAATTCGAATTTCGAATTTCGAATCCGGGACTGTGCGCTTTTTTTGTGGCCATTTGTTTTTTCGCCGCCAACTTTCGAATTCGCGATGCCCACCCGAGCTGGACCAACAACGTCAGCACGGACACACCTTGCTGGACCAACCTCGCCCCCCCCCCCCCACATCCGCTTAATTCCAAGGATGAAAGGAACGACGGCGCGAATTTCCTCGGGCGACGATGGGAGAATTTCCTTGGGCCCCGAGGACGCCCCGAGGAGTGTCGAACGAGCCCCTACGTCCATAGAGAAGTAGAAGAAGCCGTAGTGTGAGTATGCCCTAAGGCAGATGAATCGTGGTTATTTAAACCACCAGTGCTTTTGAAAGTCACAGCCGCATGCACGCCACGATCTGCTGGGATGAACGGGCCTGGGGCGCTGGCATGAAATTCATTCAAGTGGAAAAATCGCAGAACTGTCGTAATGGCTGGCTGCATGCACACCGCGACTTCCGGAAGTACTGGTGGTTTAATTCAGCTAATAAATTTTGAGTGTTCTCCTCCTCCCCATGCCTCACTCCACTCCCTTCCCCCAGTGCATGCCTGGTGCAGCTGCTGTCATTTCGTGAAACCACCAGTACTTGGCCCAGCTATCGACCATGGTAAAAAATAAAGCAGAAACGTTTCTAGTCGGATGAATTTGGGCGCTCCTGTAGTGGCCCGTATGTTTCTTAAAATCGTGGCGCGTTAACGGGCACAACGTTAGGAAGTACTGGTGGTTTAAACCACCAGTACTTGGGCCAAGTTATATGCCACGGGAAAAAAATAGAGTAGAAACATTTCTAGTTGGATTTATTTGGGCTCTCCTGTAGTGCCCCGTACGTTTCCTAAAACCGTGGCGCGTCAAGGGGCACGACTTTAGGAAGTACTGGTCGTTTAAAGCCCAGGTTGTTGTAGAGGTGGGGTACTAGACAGATGACAGTCACCCACAGTAAATTAACCGTCCATTCGGTTGTCTAGATGACCCCCCTCTGAAGACCCCACCCACCCTTCCTCTCATTCTGTTGCCCTGGCGCAACCCCTTCCTCCCTGTCCTACCCTAGTGTTAAACCACCAGTAGCTACGGCATTCTCAGGCCCCCTCTGACACGGATGAACACAGCCCCACGCGTCAGAGGGGGCTGTGTTCATCCGTGCCAGAGGGGGCCTGTACTGGTAACCACCCAGGACCATCACCCATCACCATCTTGGTGGGGTGACCTGACTAGTCACCAAATGTGCAAATTGCGAATGAATTTTCGGCTAGAACATGGAAAGATACACCACCATATTTTTTTTTGTCTTTTGTGCATGTGAAGAGTAGAGGAGAGACTCTGAGGTCCATTGTTGCATCAGTCCTTGGTTCCACATTGACTAGAATGGAGCCTCTCCCAACATACTTGCCCCCCCCAGAAAACCCTAATATAAGAGCTCATCCTCCTCTTAACTCGTAAGGGAGGGGAATGGATTTGCGAGGTAAAGGAGGTTTATTCTTTGTCATACATGCATACCTGAGGGCGTCCTCACAGTAGCTCT